GACCGAGTGGCAACTTCCTCCTAACTCTTCTGTACACAATATATTGTTCCTACTACTCTGGCCTACCCTAGACTTCTCACATCTCCCAAGGAACCGGGCTTGGAAGATAGCTGCTAGGGTTAACCGTCTTAGCCTTAATTCCTATACTACTATGCATATAGAGGAAGAGGGATAAAGACAGATAAAGGAGACCAGAATGACCAGTTTTAGCTTATTAGCTGCCATCAGCCAGCCATGCCCAGCTACAGGTATGCTCTGTGTGGGATTTCGCGTCAGACAAAAAGTACCCAAACTATCCACGTTCGTGCCCCGAGCCATTTAATTAGAAGGAGACATACCCTGTCGTCTTCTGGTTGGGCATAAACGCCAGTTTTCCGGAATGCGGGAGATGAGCATCCTTGACGCGAATCAGCATGTTCAGACGATTCTCCTCAAAGGCCCTGACATAGAAGTGAAGCTGTTCACCTGTCTTTGCCACGGGCACAAGATTACCCGCACTCTCCAGCCAGCAGGGGTGGTCGTGCAGTATCTACGGAAGAAAAATGGGAGGATGGATGAGGAAGACGGGTGCGAGTAAGTTGACAGAAAACGAGCTTTTAAATAACCAAGGGTAGTGAATAGCTAAGATACCCAGCAAGACCCGGGCGCGGCCGGTCACGGAGTTTAATGCTCTGTCAGTTGAGACACCGGTTCACGCTCTATCGGCTACGGTCCATGTTGGGACGGCCCGGACGCCAGTTATCACTCGGGCAATCCTGAGGGTACCAGAACAAAGGGACCTTACTGGTGACCGGTTCATGCAGTTACAAGCGATTTTCAAAGGGCGGACAGTAGGCCAGGACAAAGGAGGCGTGCGCAAGCGAGACTGCTCCGCGGCCAGGTTGCGGCTATCGGGAGGTCACGCTAAGGACACGATGGCTGGATGCATAACGGCAGCCCGTAGAGGCCACTCGTAGAGAGCCTATAGGGAACAATGACTACTGGCCCTTAAATATGCTGCCACCGCTGAAGGCGGCATTCTGTTGCTGGAGACACGCTACCGACGACCCACGATTCTGCTGCTAGCGACCCGGGACATGGTTATTAGAGAAACGGAACGCTGTTGGCAGAGACGACGACAGAACACAAGCTGCCGACGGACAGAAGACAAGCTGCTGGACACGCAGGAAACAGAGCTGATGTACTATTAGAACTGACAGTAAAGTACT